GAACACGTTTGGCTGGATACACTTGTTGATATGACGGGGAGCAGGCCTCAGTGGCGTTCGTGCTGTGAGTTTCTTTGTCACACCCCATCCCTGTTAGCCTCTCCTTCTAACCATGATCTCATTATTTAGTATTTTATAATTTTGTTTGGTAAATTACATTTTTTGCTGCATAGTAGCCGGCAGGTAGCTTACCGGAACGATGCCCATCCGTTACCGGTAGCTCAGCTGGCTTGCACCTGTTGCATTTTATTCCCTTTTTTCTTTTAGGTATTGCGGCACAGTAGTTGAGGTGTTTCCCACCTCTAGCTAACGTGTATAGTGTGTGTGTGTGTGTGTGTGTGTGTGTGTGTGTGTGTGTGTGTGTGTGTGTGTGTGTGTGTGTGTGTGGAAGTCTGTTAGCGCAACCTAGCCGCCTCACCAGTCGTGGGCTACTATTAGGGGAGCAATCTAAAATTAAGTCTTCTGGAGATTCACTATGTCTGCACTATTGACTCCAACAACATTAGTTTCCATATTGCTGATGAGTCACCTTTCACCTAGTTCCGCTCCCTAACGAACAGCGTATTTTGTCGATTTAATATTGCATGTGTACCGTGTCTAGTTTTCCATCTTACCTTGATTGCAGGTAGCCACAGAAAGTATGCGAATTGGACGGGGCAGGGGTTTTTATGCTTCACTAATTGCATCGAGTTTACACCAAAGAAAATAAAAGCGGTAGGGAGCCACGGTGGTTTAGGAGTCAGAAAATACTCCATCATCACGCAAATCACCTATGTATACTTGGATAAACCTGTGCACCAGGCGTAGACCAGCTGGCGGTTGGCTGACAACTCTAACCAACAGAATCAGTGCTTGATAAAATCGCTGTCACAAAGGCTGCGCATTCCATCTTCTTTAATAACATTCATGAGAATCAGCAATCTAGGTACTGGTTGTGAATGGACAGTCAAGTTGGCGATATTCACGTCAAACGGTACTAGACCATTCCATTTTCCATTGAGACGAATCATTAGACAAAAAGTGAGCCACGGACCCAAAGTAGCGGAATCACTTATCATGATACGTTACCGAAACATACGAATTATTACACCGTGGAAATAAAGGGTTAGTGATTGAGGCTGAATGCGTCCCTTTTACTAAGCAAGGCTTTACTGTGCAAGATAACGCCGCGCTGTTTAACTTATTTCGGCGATATCAAGTTCGGGTGGGACTGGAACGATAGGAAAATCCCGCGAGTGTTCCATCTTGAGTGAATCGTTGAACCAGGAATTGATGAAGTGCTCAGTTATTGATGCATCTAAAACGGAACACCCGTATCGCACTCTGGCCAACCAGTTAATGCCCACGTTTCCTGCCCTAGCAGTCCCTGCTGTGGCCGTCACGTGAAGTAAGCAAAGGATAAGAAGACAAATCGAAGGTGCAGAATGCGGACGTGCAGTTGAAATAAGAAAATACCACAAATGCATGAAGAAAACTAGATAAACGAAAATCGAAGTATGAAGATGCTAGTTAGTCATAAAAAATGAAAGGTTTCGTGTTGCTACCCAAGAGCGTCAAGTTGCCCCTCAAACCCCTTAATTGTAGATTCCCTGATAACATTTTCCGGAAGCATGTTCCAGCGCTCGATGACTCTGCGTGACAGCCGGATTTCCGCCATAATCCGATCGGACGCGGTTTTTCCAGCTTCAAGGAATGACCATGTAGAACAAACAGGTTAGCGGGACTGAATAGCCCAGATATTTCTGGACCAACCTTCCCAGTTAAGATACGGTAGGTTAGGATTAGGTCTCCTCTAAGCCTTCGTTAGTGCATTGAAAGCATCCCAAACTAAGTAGACGGTTGGGGTACCTCCGTACCCGTAATCCCTCGACTAACCAAGTACCCACTCGTAAAACCCTCTCTAGCTCCATTTTGTCCCGCTCGAGGCATGGCGGACAAGCCTGGATGCAGTATTCCAGAGGATACCGAACAAAGGCCGAGAACAGTCTCCTAAAGATGCCGCACGTCAAGACTCCGGAAGAACGTCGTATTAACCATAACATGCGGAAACCTCTGCTTGCGGCCTTCTTCCAGTTGTCGCCGGAGTGTGAAGCCGAAGAGTATACGACGCCTAGGTCAAGATGGCTGTCGACTTCAATTTGGCTAGCTAAACTCAGTTCAAGCGTTGCTTGGGGTTCATCTTATTCTCGCATCTGGTCCACGTATTCCCCACCACATTGTGACGCGTGCTTCGTTAACTATCCGTTCACTTGCCTTCAGTGCGCTTTCTCTCGCTGGCATGTCATTTACAATTCCGCATCACTTAATATCGCAAGGTTAAAGCTTTGAATGCCTCTTGGTCGGTGTAACTTCTCGGGAAATCTATGTGTGTTCAAATACGCTTCTGGCATCCACTGCTCTCAGTTGTTTGTACACAAATACCCAAAGGCTTCTCAGTAAATTGGAAGAACATCGATCTCGTCAAACCCCATTGTTTTGGGACTGCATCATGATAACCGAGACATGGCTGAATGATATAATTACCGACGCCGACGCTGGTACCTCACTCTTGTACAACGACCGACTCACAAACGCTGTGTAATTCTCTACTGCCGTTCCGACCTTCTCATCGAGCGCGTAAACGACCCTGGGATTCAAACCGTGGACGCCCTATGGTGCTGCCTACACCTAAGACAGGGCAATAGATGCTTAGTGGCCGTTGTATACCGCCCACCAATGTCCACTTTAGTAATGGACCAGGTCCTATCTTCCGCTGCAAAGAATCTACTGAAATGATCTTACAGCCACATTCTTTTGGTAGGGGACTTCAATCTACGCGGCCTAGAAATCTCGGCCACTCTGGGTGAACAATTCAAGGCGGATCTGCAAGAGCTAATCGCTGGTTCACCGCTGTACAACCATGTCACTTCTCCAACGCGTTTCAGGACAGGAAACAAACCGGCCATCTTGGACCTCGATTTTACCAATGGGGAACCGAGGTCATCTCGTACTGGTGTATCAGATCCTGAGAAACCCCATCCACACATGCCATTCTCTGTTGAAACACATTTCTAAGCGGCCAGCAGTTTAAGCTGGTCACGCAGTACAGCCGACTGGAATGTCGGCGACACTTCTTCGCCCTCCGAGTGTCACAGCCTAGAACCGCCCCCCCCCTGCAAACGTAATTAGTGCTCCTACTTTATCCCTTTTCAAAAAAGCGCCTTGACGATACACTGACACATTTACACTACCTGATATAACCCGTGACTATCAGATGATGGCATTAGTACACAACGAACAGTGGACGGCGTTGTAACCCCCGTATAATTATAGGCAGGAATACTCGCTTATGTGCTGCTCCAAACCCCTTGCTGAGTCATGTATTTCACACATTCTTTTATTGGCACGGTCTTTTTTCGTTTTTTACCCTCACCATCCTACGGGACATGTCAAACATTCGCTTTTATACCCGTCATAAACCATTGTTCCATTGCTCCATTGGTGTAACAAAATAACCATACAAATTGTCCACACCATTGTGGAAGTCGATAATTTGAGCTTCAAAATTGTAGATTTTACTCATCCATCGGGTCAACGAACATCACAATATAGGTTTCACTGTTCGTCTCTTAAACTATTCTCAGCTACTTCCATGATGGTCCAACTTTTCGTCCATCAGAGTGTAGATATGTGGCAATAAAAGTTCATTGATCAGATTTTAAAGATTTTTATGACTACTCGAAGCAAACCGTTAGAACTGCCGATTGAACATTGTATTAATCTTTCCATTGATTTATCCTTTGACGAGTATGTGACACAACCAAGACTTTTAACCTGCAAGTAACATTCTGACACTCAGTTTACTGCTTTTCCTGCATAGCTTCCTTTGTTATTTTATCGGCGACTGCCTAATTGTGGCTGTTGGTCAGCGTCTGCCACAGTGACCAGTCAGCTCATGTATTGCAACAGCTAGAACTGCATTCCTGAATCTGCGACATCTGCGGCGTCAGACAGGAGTTTCCACCGGTCTGCAAGTCCTTGTTTACAAGACCACAGTAAGAGCCGTCCTACTCTATGGTAGTGAGACTTGGTCCCTCCAGTCTGAGGATGTGAAGCGTCTGTAAGTTTTTGATTACTGCTGCATGTATTGCTAGTGTTGGATGGCAACAGCGTGTCCGCAATGATGATGTAAATAGGCCAGTGCTAGGCAGCGATAATCAAGCCAGTTCCTTAGAACAACGGATAGCACTGAATAAGTTGCGTTGTCTTGGACATGTACTACGTGTGCCTGGTAACCACTTACCGAGGGAATATTGTTTTTTTGCCAGATGTAGGTTGGCATCTGGCTTAAGATGGGCGAAGGTTAACTTGGCAGTGAAAAGTGAAGTTACTGACTACTAAACTCGATGCCGTCCATCTGTCTCGCCTTCCAAACTGGAGCCGTTTGTTTGGCTCCAGTTTTCCAAACTTACTCAAAGAGTACCGAGTACCAAATGCGTTAAACTAAGATGGATTTTACCCTTCTAACCCTTTTGATTAGCTTGAAGTAGAAAATGAACATGTTTGCATGTGGCTACGGCCTAAGGGCTACATTTCATATGGCTAAGTGCTCGGGGCACTGAACGGCCATCAGCATCAAATTGTGCTGGGATGTTGAACTAAGAACATTTATCATTACCTGGGGGTTCATGTAAAAATAAGAAGTTATAATTAACGGGATATAAGAAAATATGGAATTCAATCACACCACCGGTGACATTCACATAGCCATGCAAGATCATAGTTGGGATACAAGTAGTATGGGGCATCAGTCTATTTTAATGGGAGAGAGTGCAAGCACACCGTACAACAAAGATATCCCACATTCCCATGTCTTCCCCAGATCACTACTTGGTGAGACTGCTGTTACTGGAATTTCATCTCTGAAATGACAGTTTACTCTTGCATCACTACAGTATGTTACCTAGCTGAGAGTGATTTTACTAGATATGTGGGAAAGTGTAGTACCCATTGCAACTTACTTTATGTTGGTAGCGTTCTCCGCTGAACATTGGACTAGTCCCCGAGTCGCAGTAGAACATATGCTCTTTATCACAGCTACATTCTCCATCGGCAACTTTGCTGCGAACCCAATCACGATTGAATTCCATCGTGTACACGACGTTTTCATCACATGGGCTGGGTAATTTTTCAGGGTCATACCCAATCGGGCACGGGTTGGGTGGGTCACAATATGAGGGCAGGCTATCGTTTTTGTATTCAAAGTGTCTCCCTGGTACCTCTTCATCCCCCGTCCCTTCCGTCAAATCTTTTTCCTCACCGTCGTCGTCTTGCAACCCGGCTCCCATGACTGCATAGTTTATCCACTCACCAGTTTCGCTAGAACCACCGCTCACTTTATGTGTGCCCCAGAGCGGATTTGGATAAATGAACTCTGTCCGCCTAGACGCCGTCTCGTGCGTATCCGGATAACTGTCCCTAGTCTTCGATAAACTCGAGGAGTCACCACTGTACCGAGGAGGTTCTAATACGGGTATTTCCGTTACCGGAGACGTGGCTTCTCGCTGGTCTTGCTGCATTTCATTCATGAACATAAGCCAGTTCACATTATCAATCTCATGTGGATACTCCGGATGATCATCATCGTCGAAGTCAGGAGTAGAGAGCTTTTTCAATTCTTCATGCGCACTAGGGTTGGTTCGAAGAAAGTCTTCGTGCAACGCCTTGCTGTCGGCCACTAACCGGGCGATATAATCATCATAATTGTTCGCCACAGTTGTACCAAGCAAGCTGGTGAAAATAACGATTATGGTGATCACCTAGAAAAGAGAACGACCAGTCAAGCGAAATGCCTTGTTTGCAAATGGCGGAAGAGAAGTCACACATCGTAGCGAAAAACAAATCTAGTTAACTTACACTGTATGGTACCATCACACTATCATCCCGTCGGGATAGTTCACCCAACTAGTTGGTCACGTTCGATATGTATTAGCCTCACAATTATCAATACTTCCCGTGCCTTCGAGCTGCCCTCTGCATTTTTAGGTCGACCAACCAGATGTCCGTGCGCAGCCGTATGGAGCAAGGTGGGTGAACTGACAGGCTGCCTTGTCTGTCCGTCTTCCTACTCGACCTTGGAACATATGGGAGAACAGGCGCTCAGATGGCTGAGATGAATGCTGATGCGATTGTTTTCCGTTAGTGGTGAGGTACATTAGCCTCAAATCCCCACTTTTCCTCTAGATGGTGACCAGGCAAGAGGAATATAATGATTTCTTACGTTACCGGATGACATTTTGGAGCTGGTAGGATTGAAAATTCACTTGACTTTCTTAAATATGAACATAAAATGAAAAAACACGCTAAATCAACAAAAAATTAGCCATATGTACCCGAGTTACTGCCCTTTTAGCATCATTATACTGTCGTCGCGGATGGGGAAATCCTGAAATGGATATTTAAAAATCAAATGAAGTATCTAATGAAAAATATCGACGCCTATCTTTAGGACAAACACTTGCACACCATACTGGTGATTTTCTTTGTGGCAACGCCTACGTGTGACAAGTACAGAGAAATGGGATTATGGTAAGATCCAGCGATAAGACAGGACACTAATTTTAGGCCATGTGGTGAATGGAAAGCGTTGTTCAAAACCCTGAGGGAAGACAGACGTGAGCATCTATCCGCTTGTTAACAGTATACTCAAGGACACTTTCTCTAGGCAATCTGCTGTATAGAGAAACATTTTTTATGGACAGCAAAATTAATGTGTAGAATTGAGTGTAACACGGAGAAATTTATACGGGATTAGTAGAGCCAATGCGGCAGAACGCACGAAGTCGCAAACCAAAGTATTGAAACACCTCGTGCTGAAATCATTTTAAGTCTGGGAGCGCAAAAACTACTTTTTTTTACCTTAAAACTAGTTTTGGTGACGTGCGTAGATCAAGGTAACCCATGGGGTTAAAAGGCTGACAAATACCTAACAGTCGACGGCGACGATGACTTGGCCAACTACTACCAGATGAAAAGTGATAGACAAAGTGGCCATGATCTTGATTTTTGGGTTTTAGAGTGAATGCTGCAGCTTGACATGTAAAGGGTCTACGATGAAGAACAGGAGCAACAATCACTGAACAAGTCTATCAAAATCTCTTTGAAGAGTAGAATGGATATCAGTGAACAAAGCAATACAGCTCAAAACGTCGGCGGCTTACTTGCAAATAACAAATTTAGGAGGCATTAGAAGAATTAAGTATATAAAGAAAACTGGGGGTTTTCGGCTCGAGAAACATCGCGATTAAAGCGAGTTGCAGAGGAGCCTTTTCTGTTCGACTGAGTGCATTTAGTGCATTTAGTGCGGTTTACAAGCAATCTTACTTCAAACTGCAGATATTTGTTCAAACACCATTAACAACCAGTTGATTGGGAACAACTTATCTGTTAAAGATCCGGTAAGCATCTGCTTATTCAAGAAAAGAAAGCATCACTGCTCCGCAGTTGTGATCCAGTACAGTTACCACGAAATATGCAAGGTGCGATAAAGTATTCAGAGTAGAGCGACTATCAGTAAACATATAGATGAAAATACTTATTCGGGTTACCGAAAAACCGTATCAGCGAAGAGAACGGATTATACTTACATCAACAGCATGCTCATCTATGCCAAAGGTTTTCAGAATTGAGGCGGATATAAGGACACATACGAAAAGTTTTTATCATACATCTTCTTTCACCGCTTGTATTTACAACTTGCATCAGACCCCCAGGTACACTTGGTAGAGCCATTTTTATCTATGACGTAGACCGTAATGATCATGACATTATGAAATGTAAGGAAATTGGAAGCAACAAACAAGTGAAACAAAGAAAGTATTACAACTTGAGTTATAGTACAAAAACTAAAAAAGTCGTCAAGTGATGCAATAAGTACCGATGTCCTCCTCCATGGACTATAAATCGTTTCACTAGCTTACTCTAGCAGCTTGAATTATTCTTCTCGGTTCAACGTATGTAGCAAACCGAAGGAAATGAACATTCCGGAACCGCAATTAAAAGTGGAAAATTGGGGTTTACATTGTCCAGAGCTAAGAGGAGATTGCAGTTGCCTGAGGAGAATTAAAAAGAACTCCGTATCTCTTTTTTGATGCGCATTCTTCGGATTGCAGCAAATCATACAATGGCCGACCTTGGTGTAGCGGCTAAACGAACTTAGCCGGAATTTCCTTTTAGAACGCAATTGCAAGGGAAATCTTAGCCTTCGCGTAGTCGCGCAACACGTGAAGTATTGCTGTGATTGGAAGAAGCAAACCGAACAGGTCAGAATTCAAGAATGAAAGGAAAGTCATCATCATCATCATCAACAGCAGTACATCAGCCATTTGAACTGATGCTTCGCTGCCATACAACCATGAGGACCTATGAAATAAAGAATAAGAAGAGGGAGAGAAGGGGGACTTACCTGAAAACCTTAATGCCCTAAGCAAACATTCAGGGTCAAGGCGCCTACACCTTGTGTTAACAACATACCGTCACAAACAGCTGGCTATCGTGCAAAGATAAGGCGGCATCGGCGAGACAGCTTCCTTGCGGCTTTCACTGCCACGCGTCATAATCAGCCATTACCCCGCAGATAACACAGCACCAAACACACTTTAAACAGACAATCCGATTAGGAGACGGCAGCAGACGCGCCACTGGTGTCGGTTGCGAGCCATGTCCTGTAAAGTCTCGAGCCAAGCACAAGGTGAGTCACGTGGACTCCAACCCGGAAGGCGAGACGGACCAACGGCACCCAGTTTGGTCGTCAGTGACTTCATTTCCCGTTGCCAAGTCAACTTCTGTCCACCTCGAGCCTTGCGCCATCCTACACCTGGTAGACTGAACAAGGCCCTCCTAGGTAAGCGGTGACCAGGCATGCGTAGCACGTGCCCGAGCCAACGTAACTTATTCAGTGCTATCTGTTGTTCTAGGGAGCTAGCATGATCATCACCACCTAGTACTCGCCTACGCACATCATCGTTGCGGACACGCTGGTGCCATCCGACACCAGCAATGCTTCGCAAACAACGATGATCAAAGACTTGAAGGCGCCTCAGATCTTCAGACCGAAGGGGCCAAGTTTCACTACCATAGAGCAGAACGGCCCTCACTGTGGCCTTGTATACACGGCCTTTCAGACGGAGGGAAACTCCCTTCTGTCGCCAAAGATGACGCAGGTTCAAGAAGGCAGCTCTGGCCTTTGCAATGCGTGAGCTAACGTCATTTTCTATGCGCCCATCATTGCTGATGCAGCTGCCAAGATAAGTGAATTGATCAACCACCTCGAGTTCCTCGTTAGCAAGCGTCAAGGGGTTATCGAGTGGCTGGTGGTCCTGCAGCAACACTTTGCACTTTGAAGGTGCGAAGTGCATACCAAATAATGGGACCATTCTGGATAGGCTATTAAGGGTTGATTGTGCCGCCTCAACATTGTCGAAAAGCAAGACGATATCGTCCGCATAATCTAGATCAACTAACCGTTCACCAGGCAGCACTTCAACACCTACATCGTGAGATTCCGCAAGGGAACACTCCATGATAGAATCCACGACGAAATTGAACAAAAACGGGGAAATCGGGCAACCCTGTCGAACGCCACTTGTAGTCGAAAAGCTATCCGATAGGGCACCATAGACCCTGACGCGGCCTCTAGTGTTCGAGTATAAAGCACGAAGGATGTTCACATATTTCGTGGGAACACCTTTACGCGCAAGTATTTCGAACAGAATCGATCGATCGACTGAATCGAACGCACTCTTGAAATCGAGGAACACAGCTATTGTCGGTCTGCGGTATGCGTGGCGCTGCTCTAGCACCTGCCGCAAAGTAAATATATGGTCTATACAGCCACGTCCTGGGCGAAAACCGGCCTGCTCTTCTCTAATCCGAGATTCCCGTTCTGCAGTGAGGCGACGAACGATAATCGAGGCCAGTAATTTTGTCACAACTGGCGTTAGGCTAATACCCCTGTGGTTCGCACAGTCTGTGCGACTGCCCTTTTTGTATATTGCCACTATAATCGATTCGCTCCAATTAGCCGGCACACTCTCTTCGTTCCAGATACGTTCGAATAGGGAGGTCAGTGCTTTGCAGAGGACCTCACCTCCATCCTTAAATAGTGCAGGTGGTAGGGAATCCGGACCAGCGGCACGAAAACGATTGAGGGCTGTGATCGCGTTTCGGACCTCGGCCTCCGACGGAGGCTCTAAACTAACCGTCCATGGCTCGTCCTGCATCACCTGAGTAGGAAGAGGTCCGGGAGCAGGGGGCCAGCTGAACTGATGTTCAAAGTGCTCAGCCCAACGAGCCATACGGCGCTCCTTATTGTGTATCAGCGCACCCGCGCTGTCCCTGATTGTCTCACTGACGCCTGGTTTTCTCGGACCAGTGGTGCGTATTAGCTGGAAGAGCTTGCGGTAATTGCCTACTGCTCCTGCCTCCTCCATTTCTTGAGCCCGACTGGTCCACCAGGCTTCCTTGTCAGCACGTAGGCTCCGCTTTAGTTCACGCCTAATAGCTCGTCTGGTCACATTGTGTTCAAAACCAGCCGGGAGGTGCCTTCTAGCTTCCAAAAGGTTCACGGACCTCTCGGATATCCAGTGACTGGTGCGATGACGACTGATAGTGCCACAAGCAGATGCTCCTGCGTCGTGCATAGTGGCCGAGATCTTATTCCACTGAAGTTCAGTATCATTAGGACAAGACAGCGAGAGTTCACTATGCAGTGCTTCTTGATAGGCTTGCCTGACAGAGGGCTGGGACAATTTCTCCGTTGCCAATCGGGGGAGACGCTTTGTGCGCCTTCCGGTAAAGTTCAAGGAGAAACGACAGCGCACCAAGGCATGGTCAGAGTCGACACAGGTACTCCAGTACGAGCGGCAATCCAGAATGGAACCACGCCACCTGTAACTTATGGCTATGTGGTCAATTTGGGTCCATCGCTGACCAGCTACAGGTGGACGCCAAGTGGCACTTCGGCGCCCACTGTGTCTAAAA